ACGCCGCGTCGCGCAGGGCCGCGAGCTCCAGCGGCCGCCCGGGCTCCGCGGGCGGGGCGGGCAGCCCCGACAGGAACACGGTCTTGGTGAAGGCCTGGTACCAGCGGTCGGCGTTCAGGGAGAAAGTCTGCGGGTAAACCACATACTTCATGAACTGCATCTTGGTGAGGATGCGCAGCTTCTCGTCCGCGGACGGAGCCGCGTGCACCGCCGCCTGCCAGCGCTCCACCCGCCGCTGCCGTGCCGCTTTGCTTTTGGCTCTCAAGGAAGCCACAATCGGCGGGTACCGCGCAGAGGGGACGGCCGCGACGTCTGTGCTGGTTGACTCCGTAGCCGTGGAGGCGGCCTCGGCGGCGGTGTGCAACGAACGTCCCCGACCGCGGAGCGCCAGCTTCCAAGCCCTGGCCGCCGCCATTTTCATCCGCGGGTCCGGAACCGGACGTCCAATTCCGAAATTGTCCCCTTGCGTTTGCCGTAGGAACCAATCGGAAAGCGGAATCTGAAGCCCCGCTGGAGGAGACGGGTTCTTAGTGCGCTTAGAGTGCTTTGCGTGGTTCGTTTTGTAGCTAGTCAAGTCGCTTCTTCAAAGGTTGTCTCGGTTTAAGAGTTTCTCGATGAAAGTAATAACTTGTGTGTGTCTGTGTTTGCCGCAGGTCGGGGTGCAGTAGTGAAACCTTTAAAAAGGAGATCCCGCCACCTGTGTTGCTTGTATGACTGGGCGACCTTCTTGCCAGTAACCGCTGTGTTTAGGAATGTTCTGCACAGAAACGTCAGTCAAGCCCTTCGCTAAATTTCCGACTTTCACCTGAGCATTTCATGCTTTTTCTTTGCTAATTAAGGGTTAGGAGTAGAAATATACTTTTGTAGATCAGAAAAAGACAATGGTTTTTTTATATGTACATGCAAGCGTCAGACATATATGACCACTACTAAATTTTGGGAAAATAACTCCATGCATATTAATATGATAAATAATTTTAATGTGATCTATCTAAGAAGAGGGCAATATATGTATAGAATTAGACGTATCTGACGCCACAAAAAAGAGTTTAAAAGCCTACTGAAGAATTGTTTTTAAATTTAGCTTTGTACTGAAGCTTATTATTTCAACATGAATTGATTTCTGCTAATTTGTAAACTGGAAGAAGGAATTGCTTTATTTTTCAAATTTCACCACCCAATCAGTAGTTGTTCATGATGTTTAGTAAGTGTCTCCAAATAACCAAAATCACTCAAAACCTAAGTTTATTTCAGGAAATCTACTTGAGTCACTGATTCTATTATAATTAGAAACTCAATAATGTTGATTGTTACTTACGGTAGTAATTCTTGAGGACACTGAAAACCAAGGATTTTGTTGCTAAAAAGAAGGTATACCTTTAAATTAGCAAAGATTATACAAATTGTGGAAATGCGGGTCTTTTAAACTGATGTTTAGAAAAAAGAATACTTCAGTTTCACTAATATGTTATATAAGAAAGCACTATCAGAATCTCAAATATTCTTTTGAGATTAATAATAAAAGGAGGCTATGAAAGAATTGATATCTTTAAACCCTTATTCAGCACTTAAAGAGTAAAAGAGGTGCTCAGTTCTCTAAATTGACATTTTTATTAAAAAATGCATTTAGAGAATGTATGATCTAGCTCAATATTTTTATAAATGCACATACTATTTCAGCATAGCTTTTAGGGATAGAAGTGGGAGCTCTAGATACTGTATAAAACTAAAGGACATAATTCTGTCAGAAAGTGCTTTTATCTTTTGTTGTAAAGGAATCAAAATAAAATTGGTCAAATGTGTGCTGATTAACAACATTATGAACCAGTGACTATAGGAAAGAGAGGGGGATATTTAGTGAGGGATGGAGCAGACAGGGCAGACAGAAGGTAGAAGAAATGCAAGCGGCAAAAGAGAATACAGATGAGAAAGGACTAAGTCAAAACTCTTGAGAAAGCTTTCTGTCCAGTGTGAGCCAAAGCTGTTATAGTACACACAAGGGAGTAAGACAGAGCCGAAGTTAAACAGCATGGTAGAGGCAGTATTGCGACTGGCACCTCGGCTTCTTGCCTGCCAGATTTTATTTAGTGAATGTTTTTTGAGTACGAGTACTGATCTAAGTCTTCAGGATGCCTGGGGAACCAAAGAGACAAAGCCTATGCTCTTAACAAGGAGACGGACAGTAAAACATGATCATACATATTACATGATTTGTTACAAGGGGATAAACACTGTGGAAAAGAGAGCAAGGGAAGTAAAGATCAATGGACAGTGGGGATGGGGTGTTGTTTGCAAGTTTGAATGTGTGGCCAATATCATGCTTACTGGAGCAAAGACCTGAAGGGAGCGTGAAGTTAGCCCTGCCAGTATGGGGAGTGGATAAAGAATCCTGTTGCAGAGACCCTGAAACAGGAGCATGACTGGTGGGTTCAGCAATCAGGCAGAAAGTGATAGGTGGGGAAAACACTAGAAACTGAAATTAGAAAAGAGTGTCCTGAACTTATCGGCACCTAGAGGCAATTGCTAGGATTTTTAGGACTCTGGCAGTTAGTCAAAATGGGCAGCCTCAGAGGGTTCTCAGAAATGCCATAATGTAACAGATTTTTTAAGAAGAATTTTCCTGTGTATTAATTCAGACTGTCGTAATAACACACCATAGAGCAGGTCCTTTTAAACCATAGAAGTTTTCTCATGACTCAAGAGGCTGGAAGGCCAAGGTGAGGTTGACAGCATAGCGTGAGTTCTGTCCTCCTGACTTAGAGATACCCGCCCCCATAACCTCACGTACTGGCGAGGAAGTGCGTGCTCTGGTTTCTCTTACTCTAGGGACACTGATTCTGTCAGATCAGGTCTCGTCTCCTTACAGATTTCATTTAACCTTTATTACTTCTATAAAGACCCTATTATGGATTAGATCTAAAATGTTCCCAAAAGTCTCATGTGCTTAGAAGGGGTCCTGGTCGGAAGAAATGAGTCACTGGGGCATAACCTGGAAGGGCATGTTATTGTACCCTGCTCCTCTCCTCCCTTCTCTCTGTGCTTCCTTGCTCCCATGGATTGAGCAGCTTTTCTTCTCCATGCCCTTCCAGCCTTGGGGCCAGCCAGCCATGGACTGAAACCCCTGGAAACCATGGGCCAAATAAACCTTTCCCTTAAATTATGGGTGTCGGGCATTTTGTCTCAGCAATGGGAAAGTAACCAATACAGGCCTCTGGTGGACTAACTGGTGGGCAGCATGTAACACCCAGCTGAACTGAATCAGCAGGATTGTTACCAACAGCATAACAGCAGAACTGGAAGGGAAGATGGTGTGCTGTTCATTCTCCTGGAGAAGCATTTGCTGGTTCTCCTTGTATGAACTCAGCTGTTCACATCCTCGGAAGAGCTTGGGTTCTTGCTGTCGCTATGGATGGCTGTGGTTCTTTCTGGAGAGCTCTGGTCCTTACTTTGAGCATCACTTCCTGGCTTCAGGTGCAGATCCCTCAGCCTACTGGCACAGATCCTTTACCCCACTAGTGCAGACCTTCTAGCTTCCACCACTGACCTTTAGGCCTTCCTAGTGCAGATGCTTGACAGGGACTTGCATGAGACATTGTCGTGGGCTCTAGGCCTCCAGCTAGACTCATGCAGGACATTGCCATGGGCTCTAGGTCTTCAACTAGACTCAGGAAGGATATTGTCTTGGAATACAAGCCCTCAGCTGTATTCTTTGGGTCTCTAGTGCATGAAAAGACCTGCATTCTTCTGAATTTGACCTTTTGCATGAATATTATAAAATAATTCTATAAGTATTGTGTTCTGTCTTAAATCTATTCCCCTGAAAACCCTGAGTACAACAACGATGATTGATGTCTCAAGAATTACTACTGTAAAGCAGTGGCACATTACGATTACAGTATGACCGTGTATTATTTTATGAAATTCTGTACAGTCCAACATCACACACAGATAGCAAATATATGTCTTGGATTTTGCTTTGGTGTATCTTTGGGTGTACAAATAAAATGCTCCTTTCAGCTGGCCTTGTATGTCTCAAACTGTGAGCACATTTCCTCTGACCGGCCATACAGTGGTGCTGGAACTTGTGGCAGGAGTGTTGTATTCATTTTCCTACTTCCATTTACTGTTTGTTCTTTTCTATCCTCTTTTCATAATGCATGCTTTAGGATAGACTCACTGATATCACATAGAATATACTGAAATGGAAACCACAGCTGATTCAAGGCTGTTCTCCACTTTAAAGGCAACCTCAATTAATGACATGTATTGACTGATACTCAGAATTGTCTCCTATCTTGTATTAAAGGAAATTTAAGAAATATAACCCTAAAGCTTCTCTTTCTCGTTTTGCATGGATTCCTTTTCTCCAAGTAAATATATCAATTTTCAAATAGGTTCCTAGTTTAGTAGCTATCCCACACTGTTATCTGTCCTCCGTCATCTACTTTTACTTCTCTAGTAGACTTTCAAGTGTTAATTCAGGTGAATATTTTAAAAGGTCACAGACACCCTTAAGGTTATCTTCTCTTTACACATTAATCCACCTATTTTTTTTAACAAGGTGCATAGATTGCCAGATAATTAATGCGTGGAAGTATAAGAAATCAAATCTTTCAGAAATGATAGGTGATGTTTAAACCTTGCATATTTCTAGGAGATAACCCGAAAGCCCTTGGAATATTCTCCCTGGTGATAGTTTCTCTGTATACTTGGGACCTTGACCACACTTGATCATTTGACCTCTAGTGGAGCAAAAGACTGGATAAATGACAGTCAAACAGGCCTCTCTTCCTACAGGCCTGACTCCCAGTGGAAACCTTGGGGGCCTTGGTTAGGTGAGCTTTGCTGGTTGACAGCATTTCAAATGTAGTATCATGTAGCATTGCTGTAAAAATGAAGCATTACCTGTGTAATTGTAATGAAAGAAGACAACTAAAGAACTGCACTTGTTTTCTCCGACATTCTTATGTAGTTTTTCTTTTGCTGATATTGTTCTTCATCATTTTACGATGATAAGCCATAATATGAATCTACAACCTTTCTGAGTTCTGTGAATCCTGCTAGTACATCATCAAACCTACAACTGAACTTGGGGAATCCTCAAAACAATAGCCCTAGAGAAGCTCACTTTCAGATTACTTATCTGTATTACAGGATGGTCCCAGGGAGATTTGGCAACCATTTTAAATTGTCAGTTTATACTGAGTTTCTATTTTTTATTTTTTATTTTTTATTGTTTTGGGTTTTTTCCGGTACCGGGAATCAAACTCAGAAGCTCACGCTTGCCAGGCAGGCACTGTGCCGCTGAGCTAAATCTCCAGCCCCTATACTGAGTTTCCATGAAGTTAACTATAATATAAATTTATATAAACTTCTGTCTTACATGAACTATATGCTACAGGCTTTTCTCTTCAG